TCACTGACACCAAAGGTAATTGAGAATGTTGTACGAACATTGCTGCCCACACATGAAACTTACTTGCCCCGGTTTTGCAGGGAGATGGACAAGAATGCAACTTTCTTAACCAATCTGAGCACTACCAACAATCACTCATAATGCAGGGCATGACTCCTACATTAGCCATTTCTACTTGGTAGACTACTGGCAACCGCCTCTACACTCGTTGCCAGCCTGCTACTGAGACCCTATCACCCTCATTTTGTAAAAGGGTTAAAACGCTGGGATAAAGGGGCTGTCTAGTTGCTGTCTAAGGCATTATGGTCCAAATTCAGCTCTCCAGGGGATGCCTTCTTTTGTATCTACTTTCAATTCCACGTTATCAGGGAACCAGATCAGGTATAGAACTAATGCCTTCACTAGATACCTACTGACCTACCTCACCAGGTAACTAACTAGCTGTTAGGAAGAGAAAAAAACCCATCCTGCCCCTAAGAACAAGTTCTTCCAAGTCCCCAGAAGGCAACTAACACAAGACCCAAAGCAGTTCAAAACATGCAGCTGTATACCAATGTATATACTCTACTCCAGTGCACAGGGGTTATTGGTTTACCTAAGCCCCATTAGACAGCCCACCTACACAACCTCCCTCCCAACCCCTAAAGGGAGGACGCTTGAGCAGCCACTATCCTCTTTTCCCCAGTAGAAACCATGTGTTTGAGGCTGTATAGGTTACAGTCTACTCAGGTCTATCTTCAAGATATATCTTGCTGTCTGCATATCTGAAGTGATCATCACTATAGTACCTAGAGAGGAAGGGTTCAGCATTTAGCTGAGCTTCCTCTGATTACCAACTGCTGAAAATGTATTTGTTTTTTGATGGTATCTTACTCCTTGGCACTTACTGAATGCATCAGAGGATTGCACATTTGATCAGTGCACAATTCACAATCCACGTGCTAAACAAGCACAGGTATGCACTGGGCACTTGTAAAATGAAGAACCTGAGGATTTTACTTATGACAAAACAAAGCTTCCTGTTGGCTAATACAGTGGCATGTGCAGTGAAGGAACTATTTCACTATTTGGAGCTATCCTCTTCCTGGAAACTAAAGTTGATGCCATTTGTCTGGTTTCAGCAGTAAAACCCTTTGGCCGCATCCAGATGGCCATGTGGTATGTGGCACTGCAGAGAGGTCAGTGGTGCCACATAGTACACATTCAGCTGTTCTCCATGGTACAAAACTAAAGTGAAGCAACGCATGGGGGGACATACCTCTTAAAACTGGAGCCACTGCTGCAGCCCCAGGATGCCCTCAGGACCCCAGGTAAGGCTGCTGGGGCCAGCACAGTGCTGGCCCCAGCCTCCCTGACCCAGGGTAATGTCCTGTGTGCCCAATGGTGCATGGCATAGGCGTTCCCTGGGAATAATTAGCAGTGGCACAAAGTGGGCCACTGCTAGTTGTCCCCAGGGAAACAAACATACGTTCTCGTGTGGCTGTTTTGGGGTTTTTTGTTTTGTTTGTTTTAAGTAGAGCTAAAGCTGGGCTTTAGTCACATTTCCCTCTGAATTAATAACAAGAGCCTAACACTGTGTTAGCAATCTTTACATCTGAACTTAGAGGCTCACTGTTTCTGTACTTGTTACCTTGTTACAATAAGAATTCATTCTTCTACTAATCTATGTCATACCCAGGGACCTACTGAATTCGAGGTGGCTGCCAGCTGATTTTGTGGGCAGACTGGGAGCCATTTTTGTGGGCCAAGTGTGCATAGCCCCCCCGCCCACACCTCTAACTGGCTGAGGGACCCTGGTAGTCCAGCCTTTTGTCACAGATTGCCACATAGCCTAAACTGGGGCTTAATTACCCTGATTAAACCCAGGGAAGCCATTAATCCATGCATTAAGTGTGGATTAATGGCTTTCCTGGGCTTAATCAGGGTGATCAAGCCACAGTTTCAGGCCATCACCAAGCAGCTCACTGCAAAAAATAAAAATAAACTAACCGGCAAGCAGAGAAAAGCCCTGTAGTCTTGGAGCATGGGGGTGGGGAGAGAGGGGAGGAAGGTGGGAGGAGGGGTTAGGGAGGAATGGGGTGGGGCTGTCTCTACAGAGGGCAAGGTTATAGAAATAATGGAATAAGGAGACAGGGTGGTGGAGTGATTTTCAAAGAGAGAAAGGGGGAGATGGAATGTAGGCAGCGTTATGTAAATGATGGAAGGAGAGGCAGGGAAAGGAGTGGGGCTGGAGGTGGAGTTATGCAGATAAAGGATTGGGGCTCTGGAAGTGTGGTTGGGTTATGGAAACTGACAGGGAATGGGATGGAGGCAGGGAGGTGTGGGGTGGAGTGGGGTGAGGCTTCATTTCCTTGACCAAGCCTACATCAGGGGATCAGCCTCTGATTTGCTCCCTTTCTCCCCACCTGTGCTTCAGGATGCAAAAGCTTCCAGCCCTTTTCTGTTTTTGCAGCTATCTTTTGCCTTTTTCCCCCCCGCTTAGTGATTCCCCATACTTTTTTGCGGGCGCACACTTTTTCACAGAGAGTGCTTGAAATTGTGGTTTCTATGAAAATTGCGAAATTGCAATTTCAGTAGATCCCTAGTCATACCCTATGTCAAAATGATTGTATATGCAGAAATTGCATCTTGCGTTTTTATGCCATTTTGTCATGTTTATAAAGAATTCTTTCCAGCTACTGTGGAGTCATGAATAAAAATGAAAACTGCTGTAAAATCTAGTGCTGACTATATATTCATTATTACTATCTCCACTACATATTAATGTTCTATTTCATTAATTTCTACAGCAACAAATTCATGGAATGTTGCACAATTTAAAATAATATATAAATCAAACTATCATCAATGGGACCGGGGTTCATGTTCTTGGGAAAGCTAAATAAACAGGCAAAGAGAAATAATTTAATTTGAAAAATGCTCCAAATGGCAGGAAGTCACCTCAAGAGAGGGGCTTTTAAAGTCGGCTCTATGGACAGACTTCAAGGAATTCTGACAGACACACTCAAATACTGCTATCAGTTCAGTTATTCAGTGATAAATTATTTTTAGCCAAAATTCAACTCACTAGTAGCTACATCACTGACCTAGACACTATGGTCACAGTCATTTCTCAGAAACACAAAGAAATACAGAAGATCAATTTTAATCTTCATATAATTTTCTTTTGGTAGCTATTAACATCATGTTTGGGCTGGATTAATGAAATATAAACTAATATAAAGGAATACAAATCCTGTGGCTAACAGTTCTCTCTTTACCCTCTACCTCTCTCTCAGGAAACCTGAACTAATTTTGAAGGACTGAACTCCGCATGCTGACAGTAGTTAAAGACTTTTTGAACATCCCAGTTTCCACTGATTTCAAAGAGAGTTGAGATTCCTCAGTGATTTTTAGTTGTCATTTTATGTGAGCATTGCTAAACTGGTACAGTGCTTGTTCAGGTAGATTTTTGCAGATCTGCCTCCATAACAAACCCTAAGTAGAGATAATGTTCACAAGATACCATTGGTAATCAAGCATGTTAAAAGAAAGAGTATATTAGAATTTTTAAAAGGAAGTACACTTGAAAATCAAAAGGGGAAAAAATCTCACAACATGGTTAATGTTTAATAAACATTAGAATTAAGAATATTATTTTCATTTAAGGCCGTGATTCTACAGAACATTTACACCAGGTACTTAAATGCTCAGCTGAAGTGGGGAAAAGTGTCACCTACATTTTGCAGGTGATTGTTGCAAAAGAGAGGAAGAGAAAGTTCTAGGAAGCATATTTCATCTGCTCATCCAGTCAAATAAAGCAGAAATTGAAGCCTTGAGAGCATAAGACCTTATCAGAAATGGCTCTTGGGAAATTAGGCAGGGAACAATGGAACATATTGACTAGGATCTAAGGTTAATATAAATGGATCTATCCAACGAATGAAAACAATGCTTTGCATTTAAGAGATGCCAAGTGGAGGGGCTGAGTGAATGGGTGTTATTAATCATTACTTCATAGATACTATCATATTAAAAAGCTTTTGGATCCAGGTATTTCATTCTTCTGAGGAGTGGGATTGCAGAGGGTGAACTCCATAGGTGAGTTCAAGCCTGGACCTGGACTCATGCCAAAGCTGTAAATGGGTACCTGGGTCAGATGGAAAGCCAGATGTGATGCTAGCCACATTACTCCTTCTTTATGCCTTTAGTTATAGAAATTGGTATGCCTTAAATGCATCAGGTCATTGGACAGTTAGGTTTGCATAGACAATTGATACTGACCTTGACTTTCATATGCTAAATAATACAAAGACCACTTTTTAAAAACACCATCCCTTTTTTTTTTCATGTGATTTTACCTGTTTTGCTGTTCTTCTGTATTATAAGGTGTCTTTAAGAAAAAATCGTAATAGTATACTGAAAGGTACTGTTCTGTTTCAAAACTCGTTTTGATCAAAATTCAAATCACAACAAAAATAAACACAGCTATTGTGAAATTTGCCATTAAAAGACTTCAAAATCTCTGAAGGAGTATATATATCACATGCAAACTTAACTGGCAGTTTAAAATGTATGCATCTTTGTAAATACACTACTAGTATAGATTGTAGAGTTGTCATTATTATATCTAAATAAGTAGGTCTGTCATTCATATCATCATTCAGTTCTCCTTGTGCCCACACTGACATACACCAGCTTTCCTGAAGTAATGTTGGCACAGGGGAATTGTGACTCCTCCATCATCTAATGTTCTGGTAGAAGTCTCAGTGACAAATTCCCCAGATTACACCCCATCAGCTAGTACCCCAAAACAACTGTCTGTACTTGTCTGAATAAAAATCAGGTTTATTTACTCTGAAGGAGAAACAACACTGCAGGAGAAGAAAAACACAACAAACCACAAATAAAGTGAGTGATAAGCACAATATAAACACAGATAAACTAATCACTGCTGAAAGCATTTCTAGCTAGGCTCCAAGTTTACAGAGAATATGGGTTAAGCAAGATGAAAACCTTACGTATCAGAGAGTTCTTTGTCTCAGCCAGCTGCTGCCAGCCTGTCTTTCTGTCTTTCAATGTCTCAGAAAGGTGTGTATGAAAATCTAAATAAAATAAAATAAGTACGTTTTAGATGCAGCTCTTTTTTCCATCTACCATCCCCCACACATCTTTGGTGTAAAACAGATCAACAAGATAGCTCACCCTCTCATACTGACAGTAATAAAATATTTTAATAATAAAATGATATTCATATAGAAATTGCAAAGCTAGCTGGAATCTAACACTTAATCAAATTTAAAAGGCAAACGTGCAGTGCTATATAACTCCTATAAGAACCTGCTCGTGCAAGGTGTTGAAAACCTTGATTTCTCACTGTTGTTTATGGAAATAGACAGTATTCAGCATCTCTCCAATGGGATCCAAAATATTACTGAGACTTGTGTGAGTATATTGGACTGAAGACTGCCTTTGAATAGATACACATTGGTTTTCCCCTGAAACGAGTGAAAATTGCACATGCATACTAAACGGTGAAATAGACATTTAAGATCATAAGAAAAAACATAATTTTTTAGCAAGTGACCTGAGCTCATGTAGTTCAATAACGTAAGTTACATGTTATGTCCCTTAAGAAGACAATTTTAATCACCTTAAACACAGTTTCTTAATTAAATATACTTAGACAACAGTCACTTTCCATTTTTATATATTACTTTTTGTTACATATTTACTGGAGTTGCATCAACAGATTTAAATTCAGAAACAATATATTCATGTTCATTTCTGCTGAACTAGATGTGAAAACAGTGGTTCAGAATAAAAATCTCAATTGTTTCAAATGTTACTTTATCAATTTTAGAAGAACTAGCTGAAAACCTGATATCTAAAGACCAAAACTTGTATGGTAAATTATCATTTAAAAATAATCAGCTTTTCACCATAGAGTAGTTAGACAAAAACTAATCAAATGCCTTTCTTTCGGTTGTGTATAACTATTTTGAATCTAAATGCACATATTTGACAAGCAGCAGGAATGTTTATTGTTTTGCTAAGACTTGAACAGCATGAAATATCTTCAAGAATTTGTTAGACTAGAGAAGTTAAATATGGTAACAGCAATAGTGTTGAAAGATGCTTAACGAAAAGATACATCCTTTAAAGTCTCAGCAAAGCTCTGAGGAGACAATAAGCCTGAAAACTCGTTTCAGGTCTGGTTTTTAGAAGTTTAAATTGTTCAAAACTTGACAAGCTCCATTGGGAGCTCCAGTTATTTGGTCCTTCTCAGTCAGCACTCAGCATCTTTCAGATTCAAACACAAACTAACTGATGAACCAAGATGTCAGGTTCAGAACAGAATATATGTCAGTCCTGCTTTTCATTGGTAATGCTGAAGTGATACTGTAGCTGTGATAGTCCAGGAAATATGCCATAGGCAAGGATTTTTGTGGGTGATATTTTTATTGGACCATAGCTGGGATAGACTTAGATAAGTGTTTGGGTAGCATGGAACTCCTCCTCAGGGAACAGAAGTCCAATAAAAGATATCACCCACAACAATCCCTGCTTTTCATTGTTACTTCATGGTTGGCAAGAAGTCTACAGTTCAGTTTGAGCTGAATGTCTATTGCTATCGTACTGAAAAAGGATTTTTTTGCCCACTTGTACTGAATGCATTAAAAGAAATGTAGTACAGTTTTAGGAGAAGTAGGGGTGAGATCCATTTTAAATAGTGTGTATATTTCTGAACTGAAACATTTGTTACTGAATTCACTAAAAGCACAAAATCTTCCAAAATTCAACATGATGACGCTGGAGGAAAAATTACTGAAGAGCATGCAGTATCTTAAAAATACATAAAGCAAAAAAGACACGTGTGATTCAACAAACCGGCCACTAAGTGCCCTTGTTGCACTGCACACATCCAGACAAGGTACAATGTGCTATAAAAACTGAACACCTACCAACACTGATTCAAAATAAGTCATTTTCAGGTACTGTGGCCCAGGTCTAATCAGTTCAGCTTTATCTTTGATGAGACAGACTTTTGATTTAAAAGCAAGAAGGAAAATATTGTAGATTTTCAAGAGCACTCCACTGCAAATAAAAAGCTATGAATAATATGAAGAAAAATGAAGTCCAGCTAAGAAGACATTAAGAAACATAGAAAGTGAGGTGCTTATCAAATATTAATACTAAAAATAGCTGATTTTTCAAGTCAAATTGCAGATAAACAACCAATAATTCACTGTAGATTTGTTCATTTCAATGGCACCAATAATTTCTCCGACG